ATCGCGGAAAGAGAATGCCTAGGCCGATCTTTTGGCCAAGATGGCTAACTCAATGGTGGATTGCAGCTCCAGGTTGATTACGCTACTGCAGATAGATCAAAACTCGCTGGAGTAGGTGATGGTAGTGGAAGAGCGAGAAGGTTAGAGGTGATACAAAAAACTGGTTAGCCCGAGGGGAAAAACCAAAAGATAGAGATGATGCGAAAAAAGTTGCTAAGAAGAGCATCTAGATTCTTCATCGACAATGAAAACTTATACAAGAGGTCGCACGAAAAAACTTCATATAAAATGTATTTCGATGGAGGAGAAAAACTACGTACTTCTAGCCAACATGCGCGTCGATGCCCTAGAGTTGGTCACAAACTGTGTTAGTGTTATATATTGAAAGCTTGACTTTTCATGTTATTACACATTTGCCCTTTATGAATGAGAATCATGTTATATTAAACAAATTCTACGTTCTGTTATTCTGCACTTAGATAGAGTGGGTCGTCATGAGGCGAACCGAAGATCACTCTATCAGTTACTTGCGAACAAGAATAGTGTTCACAACCTAGATGGACATGAACACCCCATTCGAACGGTTGTAGTGTCAACTGTACAGTTTGTCTTGACAGATTAGTTACACTAGTACATTTATGTATTGAACAGGATCCTAGAGAGGAGAAGTTCATTACTAATCGTCGTAAATTAACTAGGCCCCGGTGAATTACTGTGTTCGCTTAACCCGTAAGATATTAAATTGGCATATATATATAGTATATGTTACTTTGATTCACTTGTGTGAGGTTCAGTTCTCTGGATAAATATTTCTACTGTTTTGTGTAATATTATATATAGGATGTGCTGTTAAGATATTTACGGTCACCATGTGTGTTAGTTTGAGGATGTCCCCGGAGTGAGTTCATGAAGGATTGTTATGCTAAACCCTACAGGTTGATTAAATTCCAGCATAATAAGAATGTGATGAAGAGCGCTAGCTTTGGTAAAATAATAATAAATTAATTAATTTTTGATTGTCAGTAATCGAATTAATTAATAGACATTATATCGTAAACGTGGGGAGGTAAATCGAGTAATTATTATTGAAGTCTCAAATGTAATTTGGGCTAGGAAAAAGGAGTGCAATAATATAATGTTGGTGGCTCATTAATGTTATTTAATTAATTAGAGGAGTGAGCTTGACCCACAGTTAGTCTAATTAATTAAGGAGCCCTATTCCTAATCTCCTAAGGGTCTCTATTGTAGCTCTATATATACATTATTAAGCTCATGAGAAGAGAACAGATAATCCCATACACAAACACGCCGCGCGCCCCATACTCTCTCTTTCAGATCTCATTCGAGCCTTTTCTTCTTCTTGTTGCTCCACTGGTACAAGTTGAAGAAGGGTGTATTGAGTAATACAGTAGAAGATCAATAGGTAAACGAGACCCGATTATCTTCTGCAGATAATATTCCAGCAGCCCCGCGACGCGTCTCGCGACTTCACGCGCCTCCCGTGCCTCGCGATTTGAGCCCGGGGATTCCACACACGACCCAATCCCGATTGCACGTGAGCCCGACTGATCCATTCGCGTGATCTGCTTCATTGTTGTTCTGTGTACGGCCATCTAGAAGATCAGCCAGATCGCCATAAATTTTAAGCCATAAGTTCTCTACGTCAAACCTTTAGATCCGCTGCCCATAAGTTTACGTTTGCTATTGAATTCGTCATTTGGTCATAACGAGATCCTCACAGATCCCAACAAGTGGTATCAGAGCACTTGGTTAATTCGTTTTGTACAAAGTTCAAATATTTACGGCTTTATTTGACAAGATGTGTTCAAACGCAGCCATATATTTGATTATATTTGCATAACTCGGTTTTGCAGGAAAATAGTTAATTCACTATTATGGTCGATTATGTGTTTGATGAATGTTGTTGAATGGATGTATGGTTTTAAATTTGTTTTTAAAGCCTCGGACATGTCGAGAAATTCATGGATGAATGTTTGTAATAATTATTCTCCCGGAGGTTGACCGAATAGATTTAATTATTTGCTTAGAAAACATGTACATCCATTCGTTGGATCTAGGATCGAATTATGTAATTTTGTAAATTATATTTTTCGTGTTGTGATAGTGTGTTGATGACCGAGAGATCACAAGAGATCAACATACGTTAGACATGAAAGACCTAACATAAGAGAATGAAGATTCCCTTGGCCTTGTGTGGGAATTGTACCTAGTGAAAGCAAAATTTAATCGAAAGTATATAATTAATATTTTTTTTTATCAAATATAGTATCACATAATAATAAATAGGTATTGAAGACTTAGGATATATACCTTTGTTTGAAATCAATAATCTCAGGAACATCATTCAAGACTATCAACTTTGTAGCATCATAAATGTTGGAACTAAAACAGATCCTACAAAACTAAATGTTTTTGGACAATATTAAAAATTGTACGAGAAATCTAAAATAACAATAGGAGCAAAGGATAATATAAATTAAGCCAAATAATATATACCATCATCAAATGACTTTGCATGGCAAAGTTGTATTATGAGTACACACAATTCAATTGGAGATGACTTTTTGTAGGCAGATATAAGCATATCTGCATATCCTTCCCATATGGTGCAAGTTTGGTGGCAGCCCCTATAAATTGTACAATAAAATAAACAATTAATTTCTAAAAGATATGTATACTTAAATTAAAATAAAACGAAAGTTGTATGTGTATATAATTTACTCAACATCTTCAAGAATAATGTCAACACATCTCTTTTGACCTCCATTTGAATTTCTTGTATGTACGTTTTGAAACAAAACAATACGGCCAATCATATCTACAAATTAAAAAAAAAAAAAATTAATAAATACTATAAGATTACCCGAATTTGTATTATTTAAAAAATAAAAAATAAAAAGTACCAAAAGGTGTGGAAGGATCAATTCTTTCGGGGACGTTTAGCTCGCTGAATTGCTTGAACTCAAACATCAACCTCGGATACTCGTCATCAACTATCTCGCACATGTTAGTTTGTTTGTAGAAAATGAACTTGTGACTTGATTTGGTTATCTTGAATGCACTTTTGTCCTCCATAAGTTCGAAATTTGTGATCTCATACATATTGCCTTCGAGAAGTTTAAATTCCTTGAACTATTGGAATAAGCATCCGGGTGCCCAGCCGTGCATACGCTGGCCCTAAAAAAAGAAATTAATGATGATTGTCAAAAGCTAGTAGTAGAAATGTTGTTTGTAAAAATTAATTGAATAATAGAATAGTAAGTAAAAAAATTATATACCTTCACATCATGAAAAATGAAATCATGTCCTCTGATTTGTGTTGTATGCGACTTATAATATCGAGGGTAGGTTCTGACCAATCTAAGCCTGACTGTCTTATTCTTGTTTGCCAAAAAGGTCAAATTGTTGAAAATGGATGTCATTGCTGATTAGAAAAAAAACGTAGGAGGAAGGTGTTTTTGTTTGTTGATTAATTGCAATGAGGTTTATGTGCATGATATTGGACATATATATATATATGGTCTTAGTCTGGTCAAAATCACATTGGCGCATTTAATATATAATATTTATAAATCATAATATGTGAAAAAATCAAGGGATAATGACATTCCTCTATTTCCTCTATTTTTTGTAATATATCATTCATTATCTGATTGACTTTTATTTATGTCTTCCTGCATCCCCCTCTTTTTCATTCCTTTTCGAATTTGTAACTGATATTTAACGGTTAATAATGTACAAATCATGTGCTAAAATCGGGGAATAGTAACATTTCTCAAATTTTTATTTTTATTTTTTATCTATCAAACATTATCTGATTTTGAGTTTTATTTAGTTTACCCGCCGCTTTTTTTCATTGCTTTTGAAAGTCATTTAGTTTACCTGCCGCTTCTTTTTTCATTGCCCTTGGTACTTTGTAACTAATAATTAATAATAAAATATGAATAAATCATGTGCTAAAATCATGGGATAATAACATTCCTCTATTATTTTAATATATCAAACATTCTGATTTTGATTAATTTAGTTTTTCCCGCCTTACTGAAATTTAACAGTTAAAGATTTATTTAATTCTTTAAAATGTTGTTTTCTTGGAAAACAAAAGCCCATTCGTAATTAACTGTTATGATTGATTGTCATGGTTGATTGAATATAACGGAATATGATAAAATTATGATTGAACATTCAAAACAAAGCGTGGCTGACAATGGGGCTTCGTTCGTTGGGGCGAAAGATAGACGACTGTTGGTCTTGTATCAGACTGCCTGGTGAAAGGACCGGTTGTTGAGGCAGTAGCTTAGCTATTTTTTTGGTATAGATTATGTTAATTTTAAATTCTTATTAAAGCATGGGATAATGAAATTGTTTACTGATTTTTATTTTTTTTATTATTTTGCAGGTCTAATCCAAAGCTTAAGGGTGGTCAATTAATTTATTATTTGCAATTATTTTTTTATTATTTTTTGCAGGTCTAATTCAAAGTTTATGAGTGGTCAATTATTTTATTAAATGTAATTATTTGTATATGTGTTGTATTTATTCAATTTTCTTGGTATGACTGAATATTTATTCATTCATGGAGCAAAATAAAAAAGAATAAGAAAATAACTAATTATTATTTTACTGTCTAAATATTTTATATAATCAAGTTTCTGCCTAATAAAAGTTTAATTGTTAATTGGAATAATATTTCATATTTGGATGTTATTGTAACTGCCTGATCATATTTAATAATCATCAAAATCCATGCAATAACGTGTGTGTTTATGTTTATTAAAAAAAAATCTATATAGATATGCCCTATAACGTTTTTGGGCGAGAATGAAAAAAAAAAATTATTAAATATTTTATTAAATAAAATTAGTTAGTAATTATATATATAGATAGCATCCATATTTAAAATTTTCTAAAATAATTACTGTTCGTGAGTTACATACTAGTTACACATTATATCATCAAATCAAATTAGTCACATATATCAAATTTCCGTATCCTTTAGCCGGCTACTAGAGCAGTGGTGCACTTCCAGTTCCAGCCTAGCCTCGCAGGAATTCATGAATATCTTTAAACCCCAACAAACCCCGGCATCTGCGGCGGCGTCGGCATCGGCGTCATCGCCGTCGCAGCATCTCCTCCAGCAAGCCTTCAATTCCCTCCAAACCCACTTCTACGGCTTCCTCGACAACCTGCAGAGCAACCCTCCTCTGAAAAGTAGTCTGTTTGCCAAAGTTCCAAATGGAAACAAACCGGCCTCTAACAGTTTGAATGCCAGCACTGTTAATAGCACTCCCGCCGCTAAAAATCGAGCTATGCCTGCTGAAGCTATCGAGGAGAGACTGGCCGGTGTGCCAGTATACGCTCTGAGCAACGGTTCCAAAGAATTTATTTTACTTTCGGGCGCGAACACTGGGAAAAACCTTGGTTTATTCTGTTTTAGTGAAGCTGATGCGAATTCCCTTCTTGACCAGATGAAGTCTGTGGACCCATCCACGGGTTCTGACTCACAAGTGGTTGCTGTCGCTCTAAGCAAGGTATAGACTGATTTTAAGCTTGGTATCTTTTAATTTCTTCACTTAATATGACATTTAAATGAGCGAATGGCCTGCTTATGCATACTTGGTGATTCGAATTTTGGTTGTATGTGGTGATAGTTATATTGTATCAGAAGATGATGGCTCTTTGGTTGTGATTGATATTTTACGAGTTCTTGTACTGCTGGGTTATGATGTTCAATTATTTTCATTTTTTGTGGCATATTTGGTTATTGTGGTCCGGAGTCATGTAAAAGTTGTGATTATTCAGGTTTTTCAGCTTAAAGTTGATGGTGTGGCTTTAAGACTGATGCCCGAGGCTTCTCAGATAAGGAATGCGTTGGAGGTGAGCCCTGGTTGCCATCATAAAGTATATTGTTCATTCTTGAATTCTGTGGAATTTCTGGTTTAGACCCTCTTGTTAGCAATTGAATTATTCATGAAATAGAAATGACTCTAGTGATTCTGGGAAAAATTGCATTTTAATCTGCTATTGTCTACGCTTACATCGCGGGACATTATAGGTATTGTCGTGTATTTATCAACACAAATTCTTTTACCATCAAAATGGCTCGATTAAATTCTAGTGCTTCTTCTATTAGTGAAGTTTCTAGAAAAAAAAAAAATATCAAACGACGCAATGCACCTTGGGTCGCTACGGAAACAGCCTCCTTGTATAATTACAAGAGTAAGGTCTGCGTACAACTGACCCCCCAGACCCCAACCTGTTGGGAATATACTGGGTATGTTGTTGTTGTTGTTGTTGTTGTTGTATATGTTTGTAGTGTTAGTTTAAGTACTGTTGTATAAGCCAATTATTTAAGTGTAGACTTGTGTATGGGCAAGTGGATTAACTTATGCATAAGTTAAAATTTCCAACAATCTAACATTTTCGTTGGCAGAATAGAGTCCTGGATCACACTTTGCTATGTGGAGCAACTGCTTTATGGTTTTAGTCATAAGTTTGTTTTGTAGTCATGAGTTCGTAGAGAGTACCATAGTTGTCAGAAACACGCTTCATGCCTCAGGTGACATATAGCTTCAGGCACACACACCTTTGTACCGTAGTGCTTTTTTTTTTTTTAACACTACCAAAGTTTCTATTTTAATACATTTGATACTTTACTTTCTTTACCTACTAATCCTTTTGTAGAAAGTTATGCTTTCTAGTAACTATGCATTTACAAATACAATATTTAGTTCATTTTAAATGTCTTTTCTTTTGCGCTTCAATTCTGTCAGTTGCTTCTATTCAGTCTCGCCTTTGTGAGATTGTGCCTTTCGTCTTTAAAAATTATGAATGGCATTGAAAATTTCAAAAGATTTGCACACATGATTCATGTTTGGAAGGAGGATGTCGTGTCCCGTAGATCTTTATCTGGGGATGCCAGTGCATGCATGTTGGTTCTTGTTGGATAACAAGAATATTCAACCCACTGAAATTCTTAGATGAAGTGGTTCTTGTCCACATCATAATTCATTTTGATTGCATTTCCCTGTAGTTCGACTATCGCAAAATGTTTTATAATAGTGTATGGTCCTTATGCATGGAGGCGTATTTTAAAAATGTATTGCCTTTTTAATTAGGTGAATTTTCTTTGTTTTGGTAGTCTTGTTAAAAAGACTTTGTCCAAGGTAACAATGAAGTAATATTTCAAGTAGAATCTAGACATACGTTCATTGAGTATGTGGATTTGACTTATTATCCATGCCTTAGAATGAAGCAAAGAGATTAGATGGTGGAGGGACTGTTTCTGCTCAGTATCTATAATCTGTACTGCATATAAAAGCATGAGGCCATTTTTCAGTTGATAAAACTACTCAAAATCCTATCAGTTGTGTATTGAAGATCGAGAGGAAGTGGCTCAGATTCTAAGCTCAAACGATTGCTAGGAAGCCCAAATATCTTTTGAGAAAATTCTTTGTGCTTATCTTATGTGTTTTCCATGCATACATTTCTCTTCCCAAACTCAAAATACACTAGAGTACACCGATCTTTAGAGAATTGCTAAAGATCACTTGTGGGATTTATTTAGTTATTATTCATGTCGTGTATACACCATCAGTGATAAGATGCTTAGATTTACTTGCAAACCAATAAGAGCATAATGTAGGATGAGAATTTGGAGATCAGTTTTCAAGCTTGACATGGATTGCAAGTAATCATCTTTGTGGTAAATACTAGGATTCATTGTAACCTGTGTTATGAAAAATATGAAGATTTATGGTTTAAGTTATAATCTTGTTTTTTCCTTTGTGCATAAAAGGTTAAGCCGAGAACACCATCCAATCAATTCACATGAGGTATTGGGATGCATACTTATGCATGTCCTATGTGTATATAAATTTTTCAGTGCGACTGTGCTTGGCAGCTTGCTCACCCTGAATCGATAAAAGCCCAAAAAAACTGGTAGCTCATGCATTTTGGTGTTCTAACCTAAATTATAATTTGTTTTGTACCTCTGCAGGAGAAGAAAAATGCTGGAGATCCAAATGAATGTTTCCCTGGGGTTCCAGTTTTCCAGGTTCAGTTAGCATTTCTCCATGTGCACTTTTATTTTCTTTTTTCTTTTTTTTTATTATTTATCTTTTTTTTTTTTTGGTTGGGAAATCTCGGATGTGAAAATGCAATAGGTAAACATCACTGGCTATTGTAGTTAGTAGAGTAATTGTATCCATGGAAGATCAGGACTTATTTTGCTACAGAAAAAATGGCTAGTTAGAACGTTGTCGGCCCGTAAAGGACAAAATTGACGTATCTATGTAAATTATTAATTGCAGTAATTATGTACCATATACATACCATTATACTCTGGCAGCACTTGATTCCTCTGTTTTCCTTGGCCATTGTCGCTTTATGCCTTTTTCGCCTCAAATAGAACAGGGAAAAAAGAAAAATTACATGTCTGCCAAATTTCAGTTGACTCTCTTTTACCTTCCACATAAAACTTTTATCTGTTTATTGTATTATAATGCGAGTGAGTTTCTTTATCTAAAGGTCATTTTGAGTACCTCATCAGTGAATCAATCATCTTTTAACATTTTCCTACCGTGATAAGATAATAAGTCATTGCATGTATGATGGGTTCTACACTTTGCTGTTAAAACTCGAGAGCTATTGAGCATAAAGTAGGTACATTTAGTTTTATTTGCAACCGAAATCAAATTTGTATGTGATGAACGCTTCAATATATTAATATACACATGCTATTCTCAACTGTGCCATATTTCCCACTAAAATAATGTGTTACAGTCGAAAAGCTTGATCCTGAAGAGTCGGAATAAGCAGTATCGGCCTGCATTTTTCAGGAAGGTCAGACAAGATGACAACTTGAATAATCTGTTTCGAAATTGAAAATATTGATAGCGTTGATATATTATTGTATGGTTTACTTAAATGCTCAGGAGGATCTGGAGAAGTCCCTTTCAAGAGCTTCACATGATCAGAGGGTGTTGAATCCTATTCTAAGGCAAGGGGATATACAGGTTGAATTTCCAACTTCTCTTCAAACATAATCCACCTTCTAACTTCACTATGAAAACCAATTCACCTAATTCTTT